TTTAGGAGACATACATAATAATTTGAAACTTTTTTTATATAACATAAGGTGGCAAACGAGCAAGCGGCCACCTCAATCCGCCAAAATGGCGAAGCGACCGCTGCCCATAGACATCCGCAATTGCAGATGCGTTGCCTACCCTTATGCGACGGAGAAGGAGACGCACATAAAGAGGATATTTCCCCTTCCTATGCATATCCCCTTCCGTCAAATCCACTTCCTCTTCCCATCCTCTTCTTGTGAGAAAAGGGCGGTAAAGAGAAAGGGACTAAAATAAGGCCTCCGGCACCACACTCTTCAGACGAAACACGGAATTGCTTCCATTTCACGCCTGTCTTCTGTGTGGTCGTGGTGTTACACCGGGCGTGCCGGCCTATTCGTGCTAAGGTGTTAAAGCGGGCACTACCACTGTTAAAAACTTATAATAGAGTTACTTCATTTGAATTGATGTATTTACTTATTGATACATGAATACTTATATAAATAAGGCTCATTGCGCTATACATAAGATTAACGCTCTCCTTTTGATATATTTCATCACATAAAGTGTTTAGAGCTTTCGCGAAGTTTCATGAATAAATCAAACGATCCAATATTACTTTAGCTTCTGCGAAAACAAATTAACTCTATTCAAATTTCCCGACATGATGAATGACTTTTCACTTAAAGAAAGGCTTGTGTGTACTTAAATACGTCCAAGGTGATTTGCTACATTTTTCAATTTTTCTACACATTATTACCTAGAAAGAGATGAATTGTGTGGAAGGCGATATGATCAAGAAGTGATGACTGATGACGTATGATAGAGTTATTTGAACGACAAAAACCTGTTGCGCCAAGCCTACGGAAGTACGATGATAATTACATTTTGCAGATTACTTAGGTTAAGTTATGCAGAGATTTTTCGCGGATCAAGCCGCACAACTAGTACAATAATATTCTTTAAATACAGTCAATGTTTATGTTAAAATACAGAACAGCAATGTCAAGGTTGCGATACTTTCAACTTTTGAGGTCGAGAGGAAATTGTAGGGAGTGAGGTCAGTCCGCTATCGCCCACTGTTCCGCTAAAAGGATTGATAAGGCAGACGGCGCGCCTTAGAACGATACCGTTAAGGGCAATTGCACACTCTTTTGTAGCGATGCAATACTATAAAACGTCTTTATGACGCCGGTCTTTTTAGGTTGTTTTTTTCTAAATAACGAGAGCATCGATTCGACATAAAAACAACAACCTAATTATTAATCCTGGTATGTTTTATTAAACCACTACTGTCTATATTTTTAACAGTGGTAGAGCCCGCTTTAACACGCACTGTAGGGTCGGCTCGCCCGGTGCAATACCGCTACCACACAAAAGACAGGCGTGGGAGCAATTCAGCGTTTCGTCTGATGAGTGTGGTTCCGGAGGCCTTGTTTTAGTCCATTTCCCTTTCCACACTTTTCTTAAGAGGAAAGGATAAGAAGGAAAAGTGGATTTGACGGTGTAGGAGACGTAGAGGAAGAGGGAATATCCTATTTATGGGCGTCTCCGCTACCGTCGATTAGGGTAGGTAACGCATCTGCAATTGTAGATGTTTATGGGCAGCGGTCGCTTCGCCATTTTGGCGTATTAAGGTGACAGCTTGCTCGATTGCCACCTTATAATATTAAAATAAAATATAACCTTACACTTTCACACTGTAAGTATTAATGTAGAGTTCGTAATCCCACTAAAATTGATAAGGCCTGAGCCACACGCGGCGCGCATCCTTATTACATTCTCCTTATTGGATAGGGTTATCATAAATCATTTGGGGAAAGCAATTTTCGTTGTAAAAATTACTAAACCAACTGGCTTTTCGCCAAAGTAGTGGTCTCTACTAGGAGTAGTTATATTATCTATTATTTATGGAACGATGACATTAAATCACGAGTTTTTTTTATTCGAATTAATCCAACACAACCTCACATCGATTTATTTTAAAGCAATACTTTGCCTATTCAAAAACAATAAACTTTATAATAGTTATCTTACTAATATTATAAATGCGAAAGTTTAGATGGCTGGATGGATGTTAGAGATTGTAGCCTAAACGGCTGAACGGATTTGGATGAAATTTGGCATAGACGTATAAGTTAGTCTGGAAGAACACATAGGCTACTTACTTTCGTTTTTTTTATTCCACGCGGACGAAGTCGCGGGCGAAAGGCAGTTTCATTATAAAAATAAACAGTCATTTGAGAATTCAATTTCGAATACGATAAAAAATAATTCCAAAGCGAAACTTCACAACAGGTTCTTCATTTTAGATAGCAACGGCCGATACAAGGTTGAACAAGCTCTCATTCTATGAATACTGCATGAAAACTGGATCGCAACATTGAATACAATTGCCTTTCAATCGGCAGTCTGTGGCCAACGTTATCGATCACGAAACCGAATACGTCCGTATATTCACTAGACAATTAACAAAAACTCGATCCAGTGTTGTTGATTATGGCCTAGTCTAACTGAGAGTTGGTTTCCCGCTCCTTAGTGGGAACGTATACTGAGCTGATGATGAAGAGTATAATATAATATTTTCTGTTTTGTTGTCATATATTTATTTTATTACTCATTTCATATTAATGTTATACATTTGTTGCCAAAGTAGTCGGCATATTGCCAACTTGTAACAAGAACGAATGAATGAATGACGACATTTTGTTACTCAACCGTTGTATTGTATGTTTCTTCTGTCAATTTATCAAAGCATTTTCTTAACGCAATGTTTTAAGTTTATACAACATTTTGAAAACATTTTAGTTAACCTTTAGTATTTTTTATAACATAAGGTGGCAAATGAGCAAGCGGCCACCTGAAGCCGCCAAAATGGCGAAGCGACCGCTACCCATAGACATTCGCGATCGCAGATGCGTTGGCTACCTTTATCCGACGGAGGAGGAGACGCACATAAAGAGGATATTGCCCCTTCCTATACATCTCCTCCGCCGTCAAATCCACTTCCCCTTCCCATCCCCTCCTTATAAGAAAATGGTGGTAAAGAGAAAGGGACTTCAATTAGGCCTCCGGCACCACACTTATCAGACGAAACACGGAATTACTTCCATTTCACGCCAGACTTATGTGGTCGTGGTATTACACCCTGCGTGCTGGCCCATTCGTGCTAAGATGTTAAAGCGGGCACTAGCACTAATAGGATGGCAACAACATTAATATTGTTGTGTGTTACTTCAATTGTTTTAATAGAATAATTTATATTTTAAACAAGTTAATACAAAAGAACATTAACAAAACTGTTAACAAGTTTATAAATTCTTTTTATTTTTTTTTATAGGGGGCTTTGTCGGTAAGTTAATATAACGCCCCATAAGCGTAAAACTAACAAAACTCAATTAGTTATCTAACTTCTTTTTTAAACAAACGTCGGTCAACTTTAATACCATTCTGGCCTCACCCGTAGATGGGTAACCCAGGATAGTGTTTAAGTAACCGACTTTACATCCAATTTATTTATTACTATTTGAAATTATTCATAGTTGCACAATGTTGTAGATACGTCGTTCATGATCCCATTACATTTTACACAAGAGATACATTTTTGACAATAAGTTACATTATAAATTAAACTCTAACTCCACATTATTCGTTGCTTAATGACGCAGTAACTGCGCTTTATGACAGAGATTTGACCCATTAAAACTATCAGATTACTAGACATTTAACTTTGTAACGTTCACATGATGTGGTATTCAAAAAAAAAATACAAAACCGACTTCCAAACAAAATACACTAAAAACAAAATATTCTCAAAAAAAAAACAGTACACTAAAAAGTAACGAAATAATTCCTTGAAAATAGTAAACCTACCTTATTGTAATTGTAACTGTTATATCTATATTGTACAATTATTATTACTTTGATGTCGGTATCAGCCAAGGTATGCCGTGATATTTATACGTAACGGTTTCCACATTTTTACCGTAATAATAATTGTACGATATTGACATAACAGTTACAATAATGTAGGTTTACTATTTTCAAGGAATTATTTCGTTACTTTTTAGTGTACTGTTTTTTTGAGAATATTTTGTTTTTAGTGTATTTTGTTTGGAAGTCGGTTTTGTTTTTTTATTAAAAAGTTTTGTGCGTCTATGTTGCTGATTTCATATCTCTAGCTCAGACTATCAGCGAGTGCGTGGCGACTGCGAGAAGGGCACTCTTAGACGGGTTATAAAAATATTGATAACCTTATATATCTGTGTCTAATAAAAATTCAACGGAACACACACACTTTTTAGTTAGAGAAAATATTTGATTGTTTGCATTGAATAATTTCAGAAATTCGTTCGCTATTAAAAAGCTATATTACCACCGGATAACATAAGCTATAATAGAACATACTAGCTGTTGCTTGCGTCTTCGTCCACGTGAAATTTAAAAATATAACCTATGTTACTCAACGGTAATATATCTTTGTAATGGTAAAATAATTTTAAATTGAACCAGTAGTTTTTGTAGTATTTCCACATTATAATATTAGTATATTATTATTATTATGTTCATATATCTTTATTTCTTACTCTCTATATAATACATTTTACAAGATTATAAAAATAAAATAAAATATATTATATAAAAAATAGAGCATCACCGGCTGCGGAATCCGATGACTCAAGCAACCAGTGGTCAGGGCTGCAGAGACAGGAACTATTATTATTATTATTATTTTTATTATTATTTTGGGTGACACACTAGCAGCTAGTTAGCTGATGCGTGTGTGTTGTATAGCTCGGAGATTTTAAGATTGTCTAATCTATTTTTATATATTGACTGCATATATTATATTATCGGGAAGGGAATGGATATGACAGAAAATATGTGGGAAATATGTTCTTTGCATTCCAAGCGAAGCTGTGGCGGTTCGGTAGTAATATTTTGAAAATCTATTAATTAAAATAAGTATTCAAAAATTAACTATTTATTTATTAAATATACATACTTATATGACAAGTAACTACTTATTTCCACAAGTTATTCCATTTACATTTTCCTCATAATCATCTACATTTTGACCAACTACGTCAACATAATCAACTAAAAGTAATAAAGATATTTCTTTACACGGTATAAAATTGTTACCTATGCTTAGTTTTGATAATGATGTTTCTGAAAATTCACTATAATTGATATGAAGTATCCCATTATTATCCAGTATTAAGACGTTTAAATGCTCCGCTTCCTCCAATATTTCCTTCTGGTAGCGAACAATTCGATTGTAAGACAAATCTAAAACGTTTAACCTAATAAGGCCTCGGAATGCTCCATATTTAAAACCAGTAAGGAAATTATGGGATAAATTCAATGTTTTCAAATGGACCTTATTTTTTAATGCACCAGGTTGAATATATTCTATTCTATTGTAACTTAAATCAATCTCTTGTATGCGGTAGACATTCGATAGAAAATCTTTATTGATATATCTTATCTCATTGTAACTAAGTACAAGATTACTTAATTGTTTTAATTTGCCGATGTTCAGTTTATTTGGATTTTCTAATCTTGCATGAGACACAACTAATTCTCTCAGCCGACATTTTTTCTCAAACCCAAAAGTCAAGTTATTTGTTAACGTATCTAAATGCAATCCTGATATATTTAAAAAACTCAAATTATTTAAATGATAGAGATTTGTAAAATTATCAAAATTATTAAAGTTAACATTATATGATAAATCTAAATAACGTAAATTATGTAAATCCATAAATAAGAACTCTTTAAATTTTAACAAGTTGTTGCCTGATAAATTTAAGTAAAGAAGATTATAAAGGTTAACAAAATAGACGGATCGGATGTCCGACAAGTTATTATTGTTCAACAAGAGTATTTTTAATTGCTTCAAATCTGTTGATTCCACAATAAAATCAGTAAGCTTGTTAAATGACAAGTCAAGCTGTGTTAAATTACCTAGGCCAATGAAAGCTCGGTACATCATATTTTCAATCCCACAATGTGACATATTTATATTTTGCAATCTATTCATATAATTGAATGAGTCAGAGCTCACCAAAGGTATTACCGAAAATGAAGCATCAATATCTGTTAAAATTTTTGATGCGAATACATTTGAAAAATTAGAAAATGAACTCGAAATTGCTACCTCGGTCAACATATTCAATTTTTTGAACGTGTTTAATTCTATTTTGGTAATAAAATTATGCGATATATCTAAAACTTGGAGGTTATCTAAATCTTTAAAATAATTTTCAGATAGAATCGATATCAGATTATTTTTTAATGAGATTGATATCACATTCAAAAGATCACTTTTGTCAAAATCAAAATCCTTAATATGGTTGTAAGAAAGGTCTATTTGTTTTACGTTATTGAGTAACTTGAACGAGTTCTTTGACATATTATTAATGCTATTATTATTTAACAATAATATTTCTAGTTTATTTAAACCATAAAAAGCAAAATCTTCTATAGCAACTAAATTTTGGTGCGATATTTCAAGTTTGTTGATGCCATTCAGTCCGCTAAACATTCCACGGGAAAGATTTCCTTCTAAAAAGTTATTGTTTAATGTTATTTGTGAAATACTCCTACTCTCAAATAATTCATTTGGTATACTTTTCAAATTATTACCAGACAAATAGATTGTATCTAAGTGAACTGTTTCAACGAACAAATCTTTTTCAATATTATCTAAAATGTTATCACTTAAATCTAAACATTTCAATGATGACATTTCATAAAATGTCCCATAACTAAACAGCGATATGTAATTAGAACTCAAATCTAATTTGATTACATTACTTAGGCTATCAAATTCGTCGTATGGAATATGATCAATAAAGTTATTCCTCAGTGACAATTGCTGCAACTCAACAAGTCTTAATAAGGAAGAATTTATAACTACGATATGATTGTATCCCAGATCTAAGCTTCGCAAATTTTCAGCTCCCCTGAAAGTCATTGAATTTAAATCCATTAAATGGTTAAAAGATAAATTTAAATCTTCTAAATAATAAAATCCGGTAAATATTCCTTCTGGTACAACATCAATTAAATTATGTGATAAATCCAATGTTTTTAAATTTGCATAAATATTGTGTTTGATGTTTAATTCGATTTCCATGATTTTGTTGTAGGAATAATCTATTGTATGCAGGTAAGAGTACATTATTTCGTTAGATAGTTTGGCAACATTTAAAAGATTGTGGGAGATATTTAGTATTTTCAAATTGGGCATAAAATCCAACATCGGTTGATTATTAAACCGGTTATAACTTAAATCGAGTGAAACAATGCGTTCAATGTCACTGGTTATCCACGCAATGCTGTCCATGTTGCCAAAATCGGATCTTCTAAAAACTATAGACATTAAAAACGGTGTCTCATTATAATGTGTGGATGTACATAACTGTTCGGTTTCCCACAAATTGGAACTGTCTACACATTTGACATTTATTTCACGCGTAATGTTATTACATTTACCCAAACACCCAAATTTTAATTTCTTTGTCGATTTATTTGACAAAACCGGTACGATTAAAACCATCCCTGAAAAAGAAAAGAAAAATTAATCATTTCTATTACGTGTAAAAATTAAAATAAATAAACAAAAAAAATATTAAAAATTTATTCATTTACATTTACAATACTTCCCCACTTGGAGCCTACCATAAGTTAGGGGTGAATAGGTCATAGTCAACCACGCTGGCCCACTGCGGGTTGACTTCACACATATGTTTGAATTTCTTCGCCGATATGTATAGGTTCCGTAATGTTTTCCTTTACCGTAAGAACGTCAGGTAAATTATGTAATTATTAGTTATTCGAACCCAGGGCTCGTAGATTACAAGTCAAGTGCTTACTCCCCTAAGCCATCGACGCTCTTACGTTAAAACAAACATTCGTAAACAAAAGAAAAACATATTTTTAACGAAGATAGAATGGTCATTCTAAAGAGATGTTTTAAAAGAGCTATGAAAATCTGGATGGAACTTACATAATAGCGATCTCATCTTAATTGTCTGCATCTGTAATAAAATTATATGGTATAATGTGACAGCCTCTTTCGCCGAAATATCGAAGTCATCTTTGTCCGTAGACATCTGAACTTGTAGATCTGGTATTAAGGAAAGGATAATTTCCCTCTTCCTGTGTAAAATCCACCTTCCCATCGCATCCCTTATTAGATAAGAGTGGGAAAGGTGAAGGGAACTGAAATTAGGCCTTCTCCACACACACTAAATAGACGAAACGCAGAAATAATTCTACTTCAACTTCAACTGTCTTTTGTGTGATCGCAGTATTTCATCGGTATAGGCGGCCTAATTTTTTAAAACAACTCTGCAGTTAAGACAGTTGTAATGTAGTTTCACTTCTGAAAATATTTTTTCTGTATACACATAGACGTATGATAAACTAGTTTTAGCCCGCGACTCCGTCTGCGTGGAATTAAAAAAAGTAAAAGTGAAAAGCCTATGTGTTCTTCCAGACTATCCTCTACATCTATACCAAATTTCAGCGAAATCTCCAATCATCCATCTAAACTTTGGCATTTATAATATTAGTATGAAGTATGATGTCAGATTGGTAAACAATAAGACAATAATAAAAAATTATTTACAGAATTACTTACCAACAGTCAACTCGAACTAATAGTGGAGATAGAATTAGTGGACAGTAAATAACTGACGCTCTTAAGTTGATATGAAGCAACAACTGTCGTTTCTAAGTATAGACCTACAAGGATCGTATGGCAGTTGGCAAATATTTAAACCAACAATGTCATAGTGAAAGCGCTTCAATGTCAATGTCGCTTTTTCTGTAATTCGAAATTACTGAAAAACTGTCACATATGCTGATGTTATATGTGTTATTTGCTGAGCTATGCTAACTTTACTGGTTATTATCAATTCTGACTAACTAAGACTACCTCGTACTTACTTTAATAATCCTATATGTCTATAAACTTGTAACATTCGTTATCGAATCGAAAGATGATGGCAATTTTTTTCTTTCTGGTAACTCTAAAAACTAGCAGACGATTCCGGTTAATGTCAGAGAAATGCTATAAAATCCTTGTAAGTCTATACCTAGGGGTTATCTATAGAAGTTAAACAAAGACATTAAAGAAATATATAGACTAGACGTGAACATTTTCACACCGGTAATTTCTTTGAAGGGTACTATACTAGTTGTCAAGTTTAGTACGCCATCTCATGTCCTTTTATAGTCATTTTTAAACATTTTACAAAATTATAATAATCCTTTGTTATAAAATAAAGTAAAATGTGACACAAAATAAAACAAAAACATTTAAATATGCTTTTGTTTATTTGTAATTCATATAAATACAAATAATCATATTGTGGTTTTGAGGTTAGTAAGGATCATTTGAAAAATGTGTCAAGTGAATTGTCAAGTATGCTTCCTCTATATGTTTTTTAAATCTCTTTGTATAGTGTGTATAAATAATGTAGATTAGTTTGACAATTCATTTCATATTTAGTAGGGATGGGTTGTGTAAAATCAGTCATAAATCTTAACGACATTCGATTTTTATTCTTATAGAAGTTGGAATCGATAGAATTATAGTTATAACTTTTGAATTTAAATAAAAACCAATGTTTTCCCAAATTAATTATGACCATAACAAATAATTAGAGTAGATAAATGTTTATTACTATTACAGCCGTACGAAATCGAATTGGATTTCGCTATTATTTCTGTCATCGCTAAACTCTCTATTCTATAATCAATACAGGAATTGTCCTCTAAATTAGTGAATAAGAAAATAATTATTTTAGTTGAGTTCCATAATTATTTAAACCGAATATCGATAGTGCAAAATTGTTCGCTATGTGTGTTTGTCTGGTCACTACGATACCTGTCTATTAAGTATGGCATTTGCCTTCATACAAATTGAATTCGATACTTCATATGCGTCGTTTATCAAACTAATCTATCTTATTTAGACACACTATAAATACAGGAAGTAGATCTCAAGAATTTTTAAAGTCAATAATACCAAACTAATATACTAAACATAAAGCGTCGCATTGTAGTGTGTGAAAAAACAACGCTGTCCTAAAAAACTAGTTGTCTCTTTCTAAAGATCGATGTGCCAAAAGTTTTTCATCCTCGTCAAAAACAAAAGCATTGTTATATTTCACTTATGCTGGGTTTCTGAAGTTACCATCTAATTTATCATTACTTATTGCTTCAATAGTGTAAACTTGAAATAAGTTTCAACGGAGTAAAACTCAAGTTACATAGTTCGGAAACGAATTTATCGAAGTTATCGAACCAAAAACTAACGATTGGTTTAAAGTAGCTGAGAAACCTGCCATTATAGTAAAAGTAGCTTCAAGTGTTAGTAAAATATAAAAAAACCAGCTGTTTTTATTTTATTTTTTTTGACCGACTTCCCAAAAGAAGGAGGTACTCGATTCGTCAATATATTTTTTTATGTGTGTTACGGCATAACTCCGCCGCTAGTGGACCGATTTTGATAATTCTTTTTTTATCCGAAAGGTAATGCTTGCAGGTGGGTTCAATTTCTTTGGTTGATTTTTTTAGTCAAAGACTACGACGTAGTTAAATAGTTTAGCTCAAAATCGCGCGACGAAATTTCGGGTCATTTTTGCTTTCTTTGCTTACGTAGCCTAAACTATAAGACTTACATAAAAATGATGTAAGCTAATTAAACTAACACTGAAAGCAAGAAAAAAAATGTTATCCAACGATTAAAAATAATCAATAATTAAATAAAATCAATACACAATCATCAATAATCTATACTAATAAGAGGAGAGATTTGTATTTTTGTATTCAATAAAAGAACTTGGGGGTTGGTGGGCCGATCTCAAAGGTTCTCTCACCGTTAAAGGGCTACTTTGTCGGTGGGTAACTCATTAACTTTTAATGTTAATATTATACCTAGTATATTGCATTGTTACTTTATTATTGAAACTTTATATTGTATCCTATAACTAAATTTTAATATTAATGTGAACTGTGCAGTGCCAATATAAACATTGTATGTTTAATGGCACCAAGCTGTGTTAACACCATTATGTAAAAATGTTTTCGTTGAAATAGATTAAAAAAAAATTGAATGAGCTACAATTCTTTCATACATCATTTTATGTAGGTCTTATAGTTTAGGCTACGTAAGCCAGGAAAGCAAACTTTGTTACAAGTTGGTATTTTTTTCTGCGACTCGTAATTTGCTTTTTATGATATCTCCTAAACTATTGATCTGAATTATATAATTCCAAGGGCATTTATAATCTACATTAAATTCTCTTGATGATGGAAACATTTATTGATAGATATATGCTATCGCGGACTTTTATTTAGCAAATTTAAATTGTAAGTCTTATAGTTTAGGGTACGTAAGCAAAAAAAGCAAAAATGACCCGAAATTTCGTCGCGCGATTTTAAGCTAAAATATTTAACAACGTCGTAGTCTTAGACTCCAAAAATCAAACAAAAAAATGGGACCCACCTGCAAGCATTGCCTTTTGGATAAAAAAAAATATCAAAATCGGTCCACTAGCGGCGGAGTTATGCCGTAACACACATAAAAAAAAAAAAAAAAAACATACAGACGAATTGAGTACATCCTTCTTTTGGGAAGTCGGTCAAAAAAAAGAAACAACACATGAAAAATCCACATTACTATTTTTTATGGTTTGCACAGCGGAGGTCAGAATCAATGATACTAAGGGAGTCTCTTTGAGTGATGTGAGTAACACTATGTTTGGGAGAAATAAGATATTTGGTTTTGGTTTTAGCATATTTTGTTAATATAATGTAATATGTCTTTTTCAAGCAGTAACATACAATATGGTTCGTCATAAATATTGATTGAGTTAAGACAAAAAGACGAATCGAATATCATTTCTGTCGCAAGCAATTCCGATGTAATTTGATTGATTCGTACTCCGCCGTACACTGACCTATTTGTACATATCGAATTTATTTTTATGTTTGTTAAGAGTAATGAGATATTTTCATTTTATAAATGGACTTGTGAAGGGTTTTTTAACATATTGAATGCTGTTTTGTAAAAGTTAATTTAGTAATTTCTATCACGTAACAATGGTACACGAGATAAAAATATTTTCTCATCTTTTTTAATTAAATTTTACTATTTGAGTTTATAATTTTGAAATAATCTTAGCAATATAATTAAAACAAGTTTAATAAAGGTCGTATAAAGCTAAAATGTACGAAAAGAGACTAATATGATCTTGTTCGACTTGTTTAATCAAAAAGAAAATGTTTTAGTAATAAAAACATTCGAATTATTTCAACAGATATTTTATTGCTCAAATAGAGGACATTTACATATTCACACAAAATCAAACAAAAAATGGGACCCGCCTGCAAACACCACCTTTCGTATAAAAAAATAATTATCCAAATCGGTCCACTAGCTGCACAGTTATGCCGTAACACACATAAAAAAAACATACAGACGAATTGAGTACGTTCTTTAGGGAAGTCGGTCAAAAATCGTATGGTAGATCCAAATTCAAACAATTTGCGTACTTTACTGTAATAACAAATACTAGCGTGTTTCTGACGTTTAGTTACCTCAGGCAATGTACACAGGCTTTTCAGAGCCATGTTTCAATGTTGATCAGCTTGTACTGCACGTGACGTAAACATCAAAGCATCGAAGCTTGTAGCCGCTCTTGTATGGAAATGAACTATGTTATAACCATGAGTTTTAGGGTGCGTTTTCACTGGCTTATTACACCTAACTGACTTAGGAGGGTGGTATTTTGTTTCTATACTAATATAATGCGTGAACATACATTACTTATTTACGTAGGATGTCAGCAATTAAAGTATAATCACCAGCTGAGAATACGTCCCCACCGAGGGGCTCGGAGCTTACCCTAAATTAGGGCGACTAGGTCATAATCAACCACGCTGCACTGCGGGTTGATTTCACACATATCTTTAGATTTCTTCGCTGATATGTGCAAGTTGCATCACGATGTTTTCCTTCACCGTAAGACCGTCAGGTAAATTATGTAAAAGTCAAGTGCTTAAACCACTATTAAATTTAGGGAGTAAATAAATTGGTTAA